ACAAAGAGGTGTTGAGTCACTATTGAAGGGAACGATCTGTGCTCGCCCCAGCATCCTTTGCAACATCTTAGAATCATCAATTACCCATCTATTACCTCCTGCGCTTTTGTGTTCTCTCTCACCCAACCACCTCCCTACACCTCGCCTCCTCCCCTTCTATCCTTTCCATGTGCCAGTGGGAATCCCGGGAGTGACGACACAGCTAATACTGCAATAAATAACTGTGGTGCCACTGCTTTGATTTTGGATACTGTAATGTCCTTGGCGCCTAAAAAAATTTAACAAAAAAACTGTAGAAAAGGAAAAAACAAGTCAAGTCCAGTTAGGTTACTCTCTTTTCTCTTTGGAAAGGCCAACATGACCTTTTACAACAATATGCAATCATTTCCCCACGTTCCCTTTGTATAGATTCTTGCTCTTTTAACTTTGGATTTTTTTTATGTTATTTATTTTGAAAAATATGAACCATGTGTTTCCCAGCCTCTCCCTTCCTCAGCTGCAAGCCCCTGGTCATACTGCTTTATAAGCTTCAAATCCCCAGAGTGGAAATGTCAGCACCAACACCAACAGCTGACCTTCCCCTCTCCTTACACATGCACATGTGCAGACGCACAGCCAACCATAACAAAAATTGTAGCACCATACATGTTTTGTTTTTTTTTACAAGGAGTTACATTACTTATTTATGAATAGGAGAGTCATACTGTGTTCAACGCAATAGTACTATCCAGGGGTCTAGTATCTGGTGTCATGCTCAGTTTGGCGGCTCAGCACTGAAATCACGTAATTTGATTAGGTTTAGATATTATCAGAGTGACCGCAATGACATTGTTTAATTAAATAAATTGGCTCTATGTGTCTAAAGGTTTTCCTCCTTTTAAAGATGCTGAAGTTGTATAGTGTCTTCATTCACTATATGAATGAGACCCAACTCTGATACCTCCTTGTACCTTGTTATTTTGTATTTATTACCAAGCTACTTAAATAATACACAATAGTGTGCTAAATGTAAATAAAGAAATTGTCAACTAATCAACACAATTTCACAAGCCCCCTGCAGTATATCACTGCTTTGTATATCAGAGTGATTTTTACAAAAAATGGGGAAAAAAGTTTTTTTTTTTTTTTTTTATCCTGTAGATTACAGCATCTCAGTCTTGAATTGTTTTCCTGTTTCCAGGTTGTTGCTCTTTCAATGACACTGTGATTAATGCCCAAGGTGGCAGTGCAGATATAGTACATGCCATATATGGCATTAACATAAGGTTAATAACCCATTTATGTCATTTCCTTCTGGGAGACATTTGGCATATGTACGGTGGCTTGAAAAAGTATTCATACCCCTTGAACTTTCCCACATTCTGTCACGTTCCGACCACAAACATAAATATATTTTATTGGCATTTTAGATAAAACATCAACATAAAGCGACACACAATTGTGAAGTAGAAGGAAAATTATACATGACTTTAAATTGTTTTTAGAAATAAAAAACTGAAAAATGTGGCGTGGCACTTCAAGCCACTGTATAATAAAATCATGCCTCCTACTGGACAGGAATGACATGACAGTTTAAGCAGAACAATCTGAATGTGTGTGTGTGTGTGTGTGTGTGTGTGTGTGTATTTCTGCAGTATGTACAGTTATAACAAATATCTTCAGATTACCTTGTTTTCAGATGGTGTTTAAAATACTAGTGTGTAAAAGAGCAGCACATGATTATCTAGGTGTCTTTCTAACTTCTTCAGGAGTGTGTTTGTGTGTGTATATGTGTGCATTTTCTGGATAATTACCCTCCTTTTTGAAGGAGCAGGACTGACACTGGTTCAGTCTCATCTCAGTCCTGTATTTCTACACAGTGTCAAATAAATCAGTTTAGGTCAATATGCTGAGACATCAGCACTTACAGAAACTATTGTCACTGTGCTGGGGCTGTGCCGACACCCACTGGGCTACACTGTAGATGTGGTCACAAGGACATGGAAACATAATTGACTCCTACAGCCAGTAAAGATGTGAACAAAATAACCAGGCTCTCTGTTTTGTTGATAGATACATGGGAAAACACAACCAATTGCAGCTGCCTGCCCAAATAACACAGAACAACACAAGTATTGCACAAAGGTTGTGCTTGTGAGGTTTATGTCAGAGTGGGGGGAAAGGAGCCCCAGACATAACATTGAAAATATGTCAGGGTTTTGCACAGAAAAGCAGAAGATGGATGTTATGACAGAGAACATGTCCAGATCTAATTCTTGTTAACTTGGATTAAGACTTCGGTGTGTAGAAAAAGAATAGAGTATGACTTGTGTATCACTTGTCTAGGACAGGGAGAAATTTAAAATGCAGGCACAGGGTTGAATCCCTGCAGAGAGATGCATTAACACACACTTCCATTTGCCTATTTAAATGACTGTGTGTATCTGACAGGGTAGTTCAGGAAATCCCAGCATACTCGACCTCTAGGTTGAGGGTCAGGCATTGACCTGTGTTGTTGAGGATTATACTATATGTGTTTTGAATTTGACTAAGACTTGACTAAGAACAACTGCAGTAACCTGTGTGTGTCTCTAAACACACAATCCAACCAATGGATCTGTTGTTCTTCAGCCCAACCTGTAGTAGAGAGAAAAGAAAAGATTTGCAGGTGACGAGAGAAAGAGTGAGAGAACAAGATAGTCAAGTCTCCTGCTTGTGGCTGAAATCCCTCCCACCTCGTACTCTTTTCTACCCTCTCAAACCCCTCCACCAAGTGCCTCACTGTTGTCACAGCTTGAAAGCAGGTGTCTTCCCTCCCATCAGCCGGGGGGATGTGGAAGAAAAAGCTGCACATCAGCAGGACTAGAGCCTCGCGCAGGAACAGCGCCACTCCGTGAGTTCTTCCCACTGCAGTGATTGGAGGCCGGTGTCAAACTGTGGTTTTTATTTTTGATACAACTCTAGCGAGGAGATGTAATCTTCTTAGATGTAATCAAAGAGGATGTGTTGACTGTACAGTGCTGGAGGTAAAGTGAGGCAACAGTGGTTGTGTTCTTAGTCCTTTTGTGGTGTCCTAGCAGTTGTTAGTCTGAGTTAAATATGTGCTCATACAACATATATTCATGCAAGCATAGGCGCCGATTCTGTGGGTGCTTCAGGGTCGAAGCACCCACGGAGATTGCTGAACACCCATGGAGATTAATGAGCACCCAGGCAGAGCAAGCACCCAGCCGCATAAACTTAAATTGGCGCCCCCTGCATACAATTCAGCTTTAGGTCTGATGTTATTTCAGATGATATTGGTAGGTCATTCAGCTATATTTAAAGCCATGGTTCAAATTGTGAAACATAGGCAAATTCGCATGTGATCTTTGTCTGTTTTCTTTAAATTTAATTATTACTCACTTGAAAATAATTATGTCCAAAAATTGCTGGTTACAGTATTTCTTACTGTCTTTGTTTTTAGTGCCCACTGTTCACTGTGGTGATGGGTTAAATGCAGAGGTCACATTTTGTTGTGTGCAGTAATATGTGTCACAATGTCACAATGACAAGGAGTTCACTTTCCTTTTTTTTACCCCTTTTTAAGCATAATTATTTAATTAATTAGAAGGCACTACCCTTTGTTAAAAAAAAAGTAACAGACTCAGAAATGCGTGGACAAACTGGTGGATTTTTAGAGTATCTGAGATTTTAGTTTGTTCATTCATTATGTCGTGCTGGAACTTTTGGGTTTCTTAACAGCTTCTCTTTTTTGTAAAACTTCTACCTGTTAAACCAGAGGTTTATGCCTCCGGGGTGAAAAGGTTTTTTCTCTTCTCACAACCCTATTTTCAGTTATTGTATTTTTTATTGTACTTAAATAAATCAAAACATGCTGGGAATGTTCTGTCCCAAAATTATTCCGCTTTTTGCCCTGGTTCTTCTCACACAAATTAACTATTGAACTGTTCTTTTTAACTTTCAATCCCACTTTTGATTCGTCCACATTGATTTCTGTGTTCAGCTGCAGCGGCTCCCACTAAAGCAGAGCTCACTTTCATATTTTCACTCTGGAGATATTATTGCAACTAAAACGGTAATGCTTAGATGCTTTTAGCAGAAACGGAGACCGGCTGCAGTCTGACATTTAATCTATGTTTACGTGAGTGAATCAGAGCAAACAGAAAGGAATCATCGAGCTGTTCTGGGTGTTTGCTGGAGAGTCATCACCAGCTGAATCATGTTTTCTCTCTTACCATTTTTATCCCTTTTTATTCTAGCCTCCAGCATGAGTGACTGATTCTCCTGCATTTGTTGGCCATTATTCCAGCGGCTTTTAGAGACATTTATTTTAATACTTGTTCATAAAAAACACCAACATCCCAGTACTTTGTATGCTGACTTTACCTTGTCCTCCCTGTCCTTCTCTCTTTCTTCCTGTGTTTACAGGTTAGTATATTAGTTCAGTGGTCATGGCGCTTGTGTTACAGCAGGATCACTAGTTTGATCCCCGGTGGTAACTGATGGCCTCTGTGTTTGCAGCTACGTATGTGTGGGTTTTATCCTAGTCTGCCAGTTTCAAACATGTCAAAGGTGCATCCCACAATTGCCCACTGACTGTTGGGGTTACCTTCCCCCCGCCCCCCCCGTGATTTAGTTGTGGATAAAAAGAACTGTTCTTGTTTGCTTCATTTTTGGGTTTTTAAATATATTTTTATGTATCCAGAAAGAAACTAGTAATAACTGTGAGTCCTCACTGTATTTGCATTAATATTATTTTATTTATTATATGTTTTCTGTGCTATGCAAAAGGTAATATTGTTGCATGTTTGTTGTTTTTATTACATTTTTGAATATTTTTTTATGTATTTTTATATGTAGTTCCATTTTAGTCCTAGAAAAGAGATTTTAACCTCCCTGACAGTTTTTGGCATTGTATATAACTACCTAGCCTGACATTGTTCTCTCCTCTTCTTTCCTGTCCTCCTATCTTCTCTCTTCTCCTCTTAATTTCCTTTCTGTCCTCTACTTTCTTCCAGGGCTGAAAAGACAGAAGTTTTAAGTGAGGACCTGTTACAGGTAAAATTTATTTTTACCTTACTTATATGTTTTTACCATAATATTTTTTTCTTTCTTGTCTGAAGGGAAAAATCCTCTTTGATAGGAGGTATTCAGCATGTAATTTTTCATATGGCCTCCAGGCAACATTAATGAGTGCTAAAATTGAATCTTTGTGAAACAAAAGATTGAATGTCCCCACTGACAGGCTTAGACTGCAGCCCAGTAATTGTTCTGATTAATGCCATTCTCATTTCAACTGGGCTGGTTCTATAATGAGGGGAAAGATGTTTAAATAAAACAGGTGAGAATCTCTCTGACCTGCTGGGAAAGACCTTATTCATGCTGATATTACAAAGAGACCCGGAGCTTTAGCAGGCAGCTGCATCACTAAACTTTTTAATCTCTCATCTGTGCAGAAACTAATTGTGCATTTATTTTAGGTGGAGAAGCGTCTAGAGCTGGTCAAGCAGGTCTCACATAGCACACACAAGAGGTTAACTGCTTGTCTGCAAGGCCAGCAAGGCGTGGATGTGGACAAGAAGTCAGTCAGGTCCCCCTCGGTAAGAACTAGGCCAGACTCAATAGTGGAAATACGAGATACAGTGGACACAGATGCAATTGCAAAAAGTAACAAAGAATACAATACAAAACAATTGAGCAAAAAGCATTGTATGAGAAATGTGCAGAGACACTCATAGCTGCTGAAGTACTTTATATTTATGAGTTATTTATTTGCACAAACTGGCCAAAAGAAAACTGATAGATTTGTTGCCATTTTATACCAGCTTCCTCTGTGTGTTACAAAACCTTTGGCAACTTGGGTATTACTGTCAGTGATTGAGCATAGACTTTTTATATGAGTCACAGGCATTATACAAGACTCTCCTTGAATGGAAGTGAAAGTTATGTTTTACATGAACTGTCTGGTTTCTCTTTCAATTTAAAACACAGTTCTGCACCCAAAATAAACCCGACCATTCTGGTAATGTGGAAGTGACAATATAATGGAACAGGGAAACTGAGATACATGTTCGTAATATTTATGAGAGTGTTATTAATAACTGTGTGGCTGTAAAAGGCATGCCAGACTAATCTGCTGACTGCAGACCAGATGACTGTTAGCCACAAGCACTAAGGTGAATAACAAAAACAAAACAAAACTAGCTAAATGTATGCTTTGATTGAGCCATACAACAGCATAGTCCAGAATTTTCTAAAGAAGGATTAGCTAATGGTTGCCAAAAAGATGTCCATGAAAAAAATAAAATATATTATCCCAAAAATATTAATAGACTTAATGGCTAGAAGAGACAAATGTAGTAGTTCAGAATGAACTAAAGGCAACTGTAAATAAACTCAGCAAAGCTACATTTTACGTTTTATGTAGTCAAAACATATCAAAAGTAGCTTAATGATGTTTTTGATAAATGAACAATTACATTTGTTTAGTTATCTCAGGTCATGTTTTGGAGTCAATAGTTCCTCGTTCAACATCAATTCTTTATGCAATTTGTGCTTATCTCCCTGCAGAAAAAGCTTCCTTTGACAACACTAGCACAATGCATGGTGGACGGGGCAGCAGTGCTAGGAGACGAGTCTTTACTAGGGTTAGTAAAAACACCCAGAATAAAGTACTTTTTAGAACATAGAAAATGAACTTGTAACTGTACTTTTTACTGATTAAATAACAATCAGATTAATTATATTTTTCTTTGTTTAATAGTAGGTCTTTTTTTAAATTCACCATTTTAATCTTAAAACTAATTTTCCTATAGGTAATCTGTTAAACAACTATGTCCTTTGTCAGCCTGTAACCTGTGTCTAATTGCCTGTTTGTTGTTTATTTGTTTATTTATTTTCTTCTCCAATAACTCGGGCAGAAAATAGAAGGAAGGAAAGCAGCACCTGTTGATATAAAACTACTTTTATGGCACTGTTTACAGCGCCACAAAAGTGCAATCTGTATCACACCACAGGGATGCATTATATCTTACAGCACACTGTTACTACGGCTTAGTTGTTTGATAAGAAGTGATCAAGAATTTTCTCTTTTTTTCTGTTTAAGGAAAATGCTAAAGCTCTGTGGAGAGACACAGGACAGACTCGCTCAGGAGCTCATCGAGTTCGAGCTCACCATAGAGAGAGACGTCATCGAGCCGCTGTACGATCTTGCAGAGGTATGGGAACTTCTTTCATTTATCTGACTTATTTGATTTTGGTCTGTCATCTTTGTCATTGTTAAAATGGACAGAAAGAGAGATAAAATAGAGGCTAAATATAATTGGTGTCCCTTTGTGATTGGGTACTAAATTGTCCAATGTGGAACTATTGCTGTAATCACAGTATTGAGAAGCGTCACGGTCACCGTGACGATGGTAAACATCCTTGACAAGCCGCATGATCAGGCTTTTAATGGATGTTCCAGCAGTTAGTTACATGCACTGACTAATCATATTCAAGCTTACCCTTGGCCTCTCACCACCAAAATCTGCAACAGGGTTAGAAATGTTCATGGGTTCAAGGTTCAAGATCTATGCTGGAAACACGGTCACATAACTTTCATACAATGGAAAACATTGTCACTACTGTATCCCGTGTTTCCTTCTGAGTTAAAGCATAGTTTACAGAATTAATATCACGTTCCAACAGAGAAATTGTAAAATGAAATGAAATGAGCATTTAAAATCAAGTTAGAAGACGCCTCAAGTTCCAACAAAGTTTTGTCGGTTGTCACCTGGTGGTCCCTGGCTAATTACTACTCAAGCTTATCTGCTGCTCACTCAGATATAAATATTGATAAAACTACTATTATTTATAATCTTCCAACTTAGCTCACCCAGTAAATCCAAATTTGAAGCAAAATAGAATTTGTACTCAATAACAAAAGAATACCTTTAAGTTAATGTAAGAGTTTAAAGCTGTCCAAAATTCATTGTGACACCTTCAAACAACGGAAACATCTCTGCGGTGTCTGCTCAGGTGGAAGTCCCAAACATCCAGAAACAAAGGAAACATTTAGCAAAACTGGTCCTCGACATGGATTCTGCACGCACACGGTGAGTATCTCACTATGAGTGACTGTTTTTGTGTGTGAGAGAAAGAGCTGATGCCTGTAATTGAAGAAACTCCATCCCCTGTGAATCAACTACCCCTTCAGCTTCCCACTGGGAACAGTCTCTAGAATGGCACTGATGTAAAACTTCCACAGTTTTTTCTCAATTTCTGGCTCTGCCCTAATTTTTTTATCATTCAACCATCTGGCACTGTTATTTTCTAATCTCCAGACCTGATGATACATAATAAAATCTCATACTGGCCTGGAAAGTTTTGACTCATTTTTGTCAAATTTTTCCTTCCATGCATTCAGAAACAGTTCCCTTAAGACTGACTCACTGTCAGTGATGGGTAGTGAAATGTAAAAATGTGATTTTATTTCACTGCAGTCCTGTGTGTGATTTAACTTCCAAATGACCCAAATCTGGGACTTTTTTTCCATCATCCAACTGTGTCCTGAGCTCTTCTGGTAGCACTGTTTATTATCTCCACTCAGACTGTGCAGACAAATAACACAGATCAAATTCTGGCAGCTTGTCTGAGGAGCTGGAGGAGAGTCTGATAGAATAAATTAGTAAAAAAAAAAAGCCTTGTTATAAGTTGAACGCAGGATAGCACGCTGAATGGGTGTTAAGTCTTGTCAGGTTGTTCAATCCAAACTTGAAATAAACTTTTGTTTTATTTGTCATGAGTCACTTACTTAGAACTGTTTATGATTCTTTCCCTCTGGAAAAATGAGTCTGACGCTGAAGGCAAATGAAAACAAATGTTTCTGTTCTTCTTTAATGCACTTTTCCTCGGTCCTGCCAACTCTCTGATTAATTTCTATTTATTATGACTACATTATCTCCCACCCACAGACAAAGCCCACTAAATCGATCTTCTGCTTTCAGATATTATCAGTCTACCAAGTCTTCTGGACTGTCCAGTAACCTGCAGTCGACGGGAGCCAAGGCCGACCACCTCAGGGAAGAAATGGAGGAGGCAGCCAACCGCATGGAGATCTGTCGAGTCAGTGGTCACCTAGATTTTCTATGTTAGAATTTATTTAGACACCTGGAGGTTTCTTTTTTACATACTCTTGTTTTTAGCTGTTAATAATTCTAAATACTCTGACCTAAACTCCCCTGGGTTTGACACTTGACCACTGTATATGGCAGTTGATTTTGTTTCATATAACCTTTAAACTTTAAACCTTAACATATTGTTCTACATGCTTTATGATTACTGATAAAAGATAACTGATAAAAGCTTTTAGGCTTTAATGTTTTTTTGGCTTAAAAAAGGCCTAATTTGACATTTTCTAAAGTTGAAACACATTAAGACTATGGGTCATTTTGCCACAAACAAACATGACTTACAGGAAAATCCTCAATTTCTGTTAAATTCATTATCTATTCTGACCAGTTTTTTTGTTTTTCTAATCAATTATGGGAGTAGCCTTGTCTTAAGGCAATTTATATTCATGCCCCAGCTAATTTACATAATTTTGACGGGACTTAAACAGTGGGTAAAACGCAGCACTGTAATGAAAAACTACTTAGTTCCTTTAAAGTGGTTCATAGTTCTTCTTGGTCCTGATTCTGTGTAATCTAAACATGTTTTGCCTTAATCCATCATTAAATCATTTAAAAATATATATTCTATAAGCTTCATTGCCTAAAGTGCTTCCATTTTACCACTTTTACTTACTAAATAAACCACATAGAGCGCATGGTAAATACAACTTTCCATGACATAACCAGGGGTTAATAATGCAACTTACTGTAACAATAATTGATGTAGTCACCGACACCAGGGCTCTCTGTGGTGTTAGATTTCATATGTGAGTCCCACTGTACACCTTTTTGTGTTTTCTTTTTCCCACCAGGATCAGTTATCAGCAGACATGTACAGTTTTGTGGCCAAAGAAATTGACTATGCAAGCTATTTCCAGACAGTAAGTACAGCAGCTCTGCAGACAGCAGCCAAAGTACAGAAACTTCTGCATAATAATCCTCTTTAAATTCTTTCGTGTGTGTCTTTGTCTAGATGATAGAAGCCCAGGCGGAGTATCACAGGAAGTCCTTAGAGCTGCTTCAGAATATTCTGCCCCAGATCAAAGCTCATCAGGGTGAGTTTTAAACCAACAAACACACACTCCTGGTGTGACCCTTTTTTGTCCTCACCTGATTATACTGTAAACCCTTGACTGTCTCGATGAAATCAGATGAGATATATGATATCACAGGTAGGATTTTAAAACACTAATAATTGGACACAGTTATTCTCAACAAATTCAATCAATAATGTTCTATTAAAAATAACAACAGTACCTATCACTCATTGACTTATAAATGATCAATAATTTGTCCTCTAGTGCTACAGGGTGGATGGATGGTTAGTAGTTACAATGGTGCCCAATGTGCAGCAAATAAATAGGATTAAAATATGATAAGTTGAGCTGTGTCTAGTGAAAAAAGTAGCTTATTCCAGTCACACAATATGATATGAGTGTGTTAACCCACAGTGAGACTGTTGGTGTAGTAGAAAGCTTTCACCATGTAGAATCTCATTTGTGGGGGCAGAGCTGCGTCTGTTGTTTCTGCACGTCTTACACTATGTGTGTTTTTACAGAGACCTGGGTGGAGAAACCATGCTATGGGAAACCATTAGAGGAGCACTTAGCACTCAGTGGGAGAGATATTGCCTTCCCTATTGAAGCCTGTGTCACCATGCTGTTGGAGTGTGGCATGCAGGAGGAGGTCAGGCTACACCACTCACACAAACCAACACATCAATGAAGTAAATACGTTTCACTACTGTAAGAACAGATGCAGTCTCCCTTAAAACGTTGCTAACAACATTTGTACTTTGTTTTGAAGGTTGAGGTTGTTTGTGAGGAGCTACTGACAGGAATTTGAGTTTCAGCATATTGTGGAGCATATGGCAGGAGAAGGAATAGAACTGAATAGAATAGAAAACAATACTGCAGTACAGTGCAGTACTTATTTTTGTTTTGAATTTGATTTTAAATTATTTTCTTCATATTTATTTCAAAATTCTTTTGCATCATAGGGTTTGTTTAGAATTGCTCCGTCAGCCTCCAAATTGAAGAAGCTGAAGGCGTCCTTAGACTGTGGTGTCTTAGATGTTCAAGAATATTCTGCAGACCCTCACGCCATCGCAGGTGAGTTCACTTACACACCTGCCTCTCATTTCCATTGTCAAGAATGTGTAACTCACCTCGCATGAATGGATTTACAAGAAAACAGTCATTGTGTTTCATTAGTTTAATCATATCTGCAAATTCCCAACACACTGACACACTGTTTTATTGAGATTCAAATGTTTACTAGTGGAAATAACAACTTAATTATTTATGACAATGTAAAATCTTATTCTTTTGTTTTGTTATTCTTTTGTTTGAAAATACTTGAGAATTCATTTAACCTTTAACCCAACATAGTTTTATTAGTAACAGTTAAATTGATCCAATTTAATCCAAAATTTGCTGGTTTTTCCAACAGTGGCTTTCACTCATGACAAATTGTCAATAGAATTCTTTGTTGCACATAAGATAGAATCACACGTCTGTCACATGAAAGTTTTCTCTATTAGTCATGCAGTTCTTCACGGTAAAAAATGTTTATGTCCATCAGACTAATGAAAGGAGCCCTGCTGCTGTAGACTGGACAGTACGTCCCACAATTAGTATAATTTACCCATATTCTTTAACCTTAAATGTTTATTAAAATACATGTTTTTAAGTAACGAAACAAGCTGCATTACTGTGTACAAATGAAGAGTTAGGAACCAAAGTGAAATGAGGCAACTCCTTACAGTAAAGGGTATATAAAAAAGCAGAGCATGTCTTGGTTAAGGTCTGATCAAAACTGGCTCAGTTTTTCATGCCCTTCATTCAACCGATTAAACACTGTGACCAAGTTGTGGGTCACACCCCACTCGAGAAATATTGATTTTTTTTCTTTAAATAGGACACAAGATTTAAGCATTTTGCCGCCATTTGAAGATAATTTCTCCTCTGTAGTACTAAAACAAATCATCCAAGTACCTTCATATGATTGATATATAGTATATATATATACATACACATATATTGCTACGATAAAGTGAGTCATAATGTTAAATTCTGATTGCGATAAGAGATCAACTCTAAGAAACCTGCGTCATCAGGAGCTCATTTTTCACATTGTTTCAGTTGATTGAAATCAGAATAATTGGAGTAAATGTGTGCATCAGTCTTTGGTTTCACAGCAGTTCCCATTATTCACTGTCTCTTTATAGCTGGCTACACCAAATCCAAGCCCACAGATTAGACCGCAGCCACCATGCTGTCTCCCAGCATGGAGTGCCCTGACTTTTTCTGTTTGTCTTCCATCACATGCTTCCCTGTAGGAAATAAACAGAGTATCAGACCAGAGAGAGAAATGGATGCCATGGAAGTCAGAAAGTGAAGCCCATTCATTAGTCTTTCCTTGTCAGGAGAGAAATTACTCTTAGACCTAACAATGTTCTATGTTAGTGTTTTAATTTCATTTAAATAGCCAGGATTGAATTTGATGATTTCAGTGACAGATTCTACTTCCTGGCTGAATATAAAGCTGCACATTTGAAGCTAAATAGTCTTTAAGCCAAGACAATAAAGTTGTTGCAAACTTTAGAATTTTTTTTTACACAATCATTTGTGAATATAATGAAACACTGTGGTACATGTGGTAGCTGATGTTTATCTCACCGTTAGTGTGTATCACAAAAAACTACTTTCTCCCCGTATCCTATACATGCATACATGTATTTATGTGTTTAATCCTGATCTCTCTAGGGGCATTGAAGTCCTACCTGCGTGAGCTGCCTGAGCCTTTAATGACCTTTGAACTCTACAACGACTGGATCCAAGCCTCCAAGTGTGTATATATTCACTGAAATAACATGGACATTCTTTTAATCTTTCCACTAAAAAATTGCACATTACTATTTGTACTATTTACTATTTGTTTTATGTCTGTCTGCTGTGATGCTGAGTGACAATTTTCTTTGTGCAGCATTCAAGATCAAGACAAGAGACTCCAGGCTCTTCTTAACGCCTGTGAGAAACTGCCACCAGCCAACAACAACAACTTTAAGTAAGTCACTGTTTTGAAATGTAACACACTTTTGGTCTCCAGCTGCTAAATGCCTAACTCTAGTACAGGGGTGGCCAACCAGTCAAGAGCCACAATTTCTACCGTGTTACTGCAAAGAGCCACGTGACATACATGGGCACACATGAACTGCCGCATCCCTTAAAAAAAATAAAATAAATAAAACTCTCCCACTCTTTTAAACTTCCTGTATACATCTTTTCAGCTGTGCAAATTGAGTTTTCCCTAAGTAATTTGCATCATTGGCCATCGAGTTTCACATAGTGTAAAAAAAAATACAAAGATTCGACATGAACGTAAGAGGCGCATGAAACCGGGCAAAGAGCCGCATGTGGCTCCCGAGCCACAGGTTGGCCATGCCTGCCTTAGTATATTTACCAGCTGATCTCTGAACTTGTCTGTCTACTGCTATATATGTAGTCGGATTGGTCTGAAAAAACAGGTCCCTTTTGTGGTTGTCATTTGTTACACCAAAAATAAAAAAGACCAATGGATTAAAAAGGACCAAAATACCAGGATATGAGGATCATGATCTTGACTTCCATTTTATTATTCCCTCTAAAAATATATTTACAAATTTCCATTTAAACTACATTTGTTAATGCCTACTGGAAAAGGAGAATTTTTATTAGACTTTCTGGCACTTGGTGTTGTTTGGTATTATCTTGTTTTTACTACTTACTTAAGTTTCTTAAAATACATCAATATCTGTGCTTTAAAAAAAACCTAGTAGATGCTGAAATGGTAAGTCTTAGACAGTGGTTGAGGAGCTGTCACTGCGCAGAAGAAGTAAAAAAAAGAAAGGACAGAGGGGATAAAAACAGCGAGACACTGCAGCCCTTGTCAGTATCGTCCTGCTCTGAGAAGACTTGTCAGACCTGTCCAAATAAATGAGCGGCATGATGTTCATTCAACTGTAGTCTGACTCAGTATGAGTCATTCACACCAACAGCTCAAACCCAGGAGCTCCTTTGTGAAGAGTGAAAATCAAGAAGAGCCATTTGCCTTAATGATGGGATGTTCCAGCTCTAAATAGTTCTCTAAGGTTATGAAAGCTAAATAGTGATGCTCAAACTACTAATTTACCTACAGTGAGCTGGGAAAGGTAGTAACACAATCTGAGAATTAACATATCTGAGAATTTCCTTTCTTTTACCTTGACTTTTTATAATGGGAGCATTGCATGCTGACAAGACTTGAAGTCACCTGCATTTGTAGTGTAATACATTCTTGTCTGCTCTATGTATTTAGAGTATGTTGGTATTTTATTTATGTATGTACTGTATGTTACCAGGTATCTGATCAAGTTCCTCTCTAAACTGACTGAGCATCAGGATCTGAACAAAATGACACCTGGAAATATTGCAATAGTCCTTGGACCGAATCTGCTGTGGACACACAATGAGGGGTGAGGAAGACATTTTGAAAAGTGTATATACTGTATATAATTAAATGTTTGTACATTTACATTTTACATTTACGTTTGTACAACTACATTATAAGCATAGCTTAGAATATATATTTATAATCAATTTCATTATATTCAAGATATTTAGGATACATTCAATTTTTCAAAAACATTTCATTTTCATTATATCCTCTTAAGTCTTATTTCATGCTGTTCTACTATCTATCAGTAACTACATTTCCTATTCTTTGCTTCCCAAACAAAATTCAGCAAACATGGGTAGTAGTGTGAGACACACACTATTTCAGTGTCACATTTTGGGCTGGACATCTGAGTTGTTAAATAAATCTGAGGAGAAAAGATTAGGCTTAAATTAAGCTTTATTTGGAGTAATTTTCCTTCCATTTTTATTCTGAGCAAATTCCTCTTATGGCATCTACATTGAATAACTAGTCAGTTGTCATAGCTTTTTGGACTTAAACAGTAGATTTGTTTTGTCTTCTTATTCTCTTTACAAATGCAGTGCAGTGCAGGTTTATTTCAGGACTCCTAGCCTTACAATACTGTTGAGTTGTGGCATAATGTTTAACATGAACAAATAGTAGGTGTCACCACCTGACACCTTCTTTATTTTACTTAAATTCAGGAGACTGGAAATTTCGTCCTATTGTAGTCACCATTGCTCCATGCTAATGCAGAATTTGATCATGGTGACTGAGCAATTTCAGGACAGTCTGTTGAAGGACAATCCATTTTTATTTTTGTGTTGATCTCACTGCGTCTTGGGCCCTCACTTCTAATTAGTAATTTATTGCAGCACTAACATACATCCTTGAAATTCAGCAGCTCCTTCAAACTCTGTTTTGAAAGCCCTTGTCCTCTGTTCACAGCAGCAACATCACAGAAATGATGACGACTGTTTCCTTACAAATCGTTGGCATCATTGAGCCCATCATCCAACACGCTGACTGGTTCTTCCCTGGAGGTGAGGAACATGAATATATCAGAACAAAGAACTTTCCCCCTTTTAATAGTTGTGTCTAATTTTTTTCTCTTTCATCCTTCTCAGATATTGAGTTCAACGTCACAGGGAATTATGGAAGCCCCGTCCACACCAACCACAATGCCAACTACAGCTCCATGCCGTCCCCTGACATGGAACAGATCGATCGCAGACAGAACGACCAGAGTCGACGGCCACTCAGCGTTGCAACAGATAACATGATGTTAGAGTTCTATAAGAAAGATGGGTATGTTCCTCTCGTTGTATTTTATATTTTTTATAATCATTCTTATTCCTCTATTTTACTGCAGCAAAAAGAAAAAGTCCACAAAGGGTGTGAGGATTAATGTAAGACAGGATAAAACAAAACCTCCACTTTATTTGAAAACAGATGGAGCACATTTAGACTTGAACAACAACTCATTTTCCAACTGTGACAAAGCAGCTTTCAAAAAGACCATCACCTTAATGTCTTGGTTATGAATGTGGGACAGACAAATTCTTGAGTTATTACGCAACTCTAATGGGAAGTGACTCATGGCAGCGTTTACGTAGTTCATTGCAGAGAAGCTGCGCTTCCTAACTCCTTTTTTAATTCTCTTTTTGAAGGTTAATAAGGTGACAGAGAACAAGAAAAAGACAGTTCAGAAAAGAGTCAGATGACATTTGCTCTGCTACTGGATGAATTTAGAAGTTCTCAGCTATGGAAAAGGGAGATTAGTTGTAAATTAGACAGCGCTTCTTTTTCTTCTTGTCTATTTTATGTGTGTTTCTTTGAAGCTGTAATACAGCCTGGCTTTTATCAGACCCTGAGAAGTCTGAGCTCTCTGCAGCCTGAGAACCACATGAAGCCAAGTTAATTAGTTCAGGTCTGAGAGCATGCTGGGTCTGATCAATACAGCTCAACTTTAAGAGAAACTCACAGAGATCAGCTCTCAGAGCCACAGAGCCACTCTGAGTGTAATTTAAAAGGTAGAGCATGCGGAAAATATACTAAACATGGACTATAAATCATTACACTATACAGTAATGATTCCAAAGTTGTCCTCCAAGTCATTCTAAACGAGCAGAAACAAAACCAAGGAAGCAACCCCATTCCAAAATGAAATACATTAATATGCAAACCACTCTTCAACAAAAATAAAATGTAATGACACAGAAAAAAAAAATCATTGCAGCAACATGATACTGACACATTTGTCCTTTTTTTCTGTGTCAATTTGGGAGTCGGTGTGACCTAATTATGCAGAAATTGAAGAATAGCTTTCTTTCCTTTGTGTTTGACATTATTGGAACACTTCTTTACCCCCCTGCTGCGTCCTCCTCCCTTCTTAGGTTTACCCCTCCTCTCTCGTGTCTTAATGGTTGGTCAGTCCAGCTCAGAGTCTCCTGCTGTTGTATGGTTAGGATGATAATGAGTCGAGGGGAAATCCCATCGTCCATGATCTTCACTCCTGTCCTTTTTGTGCTTGTTTCTGCTTTGACAATGCAGCATTAGGAAGATACAAAGGTACAGTATATAGTCACTTACCTTCTGCTCATCCTTTCATCAGTCATGATGTCATCCGTTCATCTCGGCTGCCAGTGACAGGGTCTGTCATGTGTTTGTGTGTTTAATGCCACAGTCACATCTACCTCAGATTCCCACACTTCACCTCCTCTTGTTCAATGTCTGTGACAGAGTACAGGGGACGCATGAGTGACCTGAACAAAGCAGGTCTTTCTTTCCCTGTTTACCTGAGAAACATCTTTGCATTTCCTGGCACTGGATGGACGTGTTCAGTCGGTGGAAACAAAAGTCTCTTGTTGCTAACTCTTAGATCAGTACATAGTTAAGGAGTAGTTCAACATTCCCACAGGTAGTTTTGTGCTCATGTAAAGCGTTGAAAAAGGGCTAGTTGTGTTTGCCAGGTTCTCTTGTTTTTACTTTATTATGACTCTTGTCCTTTCTATACAGCTGTTCTGTGTGTTGCATCTATGAGAATAATCATCACATCTCATTAAAAATTCATAATGGATTTTTGTCTTGAGCAAAAAGAAGAACTGTTTTGGTCACGATTGCTCAGAATAAAAAATGTCTTTGTGGTTAGAGTGGACTGACCCTTGACTCTCTTTCAGAGTCTGTGGTTTAGGTTTGATCTCCCTAAGCATCCCTGTGCCTAAGACCCACTCTCTCCCTCCCTTCCTCCTGTGACTTGATTGGCTCTCCATCTCTGTCCCACTGCAGCATGGGTGTGAGGGTGATGGACACATCTTGGGTGTCGCGCAGGTCTTCGTCGTCCTCCTCCTCCTCGCGTAAAACATCTTCCATGCCACCGAACATGTATCCCCCTGTCCCGCCCACAGATGCTCCCACCCCTGAGCAGACTGGGGATTCCTCCCCTTCCCCCACCCCACCTCCCACTAGCAGTGACCGAGCCAGGTAAGGCTGCTGTGCCCGTATGTCCCTCCTGCCTCCAGTCCTCCTGTTCTACCTCCTCGTCCTCCCCCTTACACACGTTGCTCCCCCTGCTGTTGGTGCTGTTGCCCGCTCCTCACCACGTCCGCTGCTGTGCTCTGCCACTGACCTCAGAACAGCCTTGTCTGCCCTCATCATGGATTTATTGTGTTACTGTTTTTTCCCCCACCCCATGAAATTCTCATATTCACCTTGTCCCCTCCGTCTGAACCCCAGTGTCTCATCTCAGGATTTACCTTCCTTTTCAACTTTTGTGATTGCTCTTGGTGAAGTTAGTAAAGTTTTTTTTCTTTGTGACAACTCATTATCTTTTTCACAAACCATTTTAGCTTAAATGGTTACACTGCAGATTTCATTTCTGTGTAAGATGGTTTTCCCATCAGAGGAAATCATGAAAGGTTTTTATCATAGTTGAGTAGAAATGGTTCACTGTGCATTAATGTGCCCGAATTACACTACTGTTTTGTTTTTGCTATTAGTTCAAGCATCATTAAAAACAGCACAACATTGTCACAAAGCCCTGCAATTTACAAGGTGACTGATTGTTCTGTTTCATCTCAGTTCCTTTTGAATAACACAGAGGTTTACAGGAACTCTAATTATTTCACTGCTGAGCCCTTATGTTGCCTTTCTAACAGATTTACAACAATTATATAGTCATTCTTTATTTGCACTTCTTGAACTTAAAAATAAACCTTCATAAACAGACATGAACTTCGTGTAAAAAAACCCTCACTACTCTTGCAACCCTATCATTTTTCATGATACCTTAACATTTTTATCATTTGCAGCTCAGACGATGCATCTTCCAATTGGTCGGACTCCTGTTATGCCTACCCCTCCCCTGAGGAGGAGAGGGTGCCTCCCCCTTACCCATGTTCTTCCTCTCCCTCCACTTTTATTTCCTACTCGCTCCCTTATCGTCATTTCTACGCCCGTGCACCATCGGGTATGCGTCCCATCGCTCCCAGCCCTGAATCCGTACTTCCCAGCCCCTCCCCTCCACCCTATTGCACTGGCTACAGCCCACCTCCGCTCCCTCACTCACTTTGCACCTCTCCACAGCCGCTTGATGTCAACTCCAACCCTCAACCTCGATCCCTGCATATTTCCAAACAGGCCTCGCTGTCTGATGCTCCGCATGCATCCCTGTCCAAAACAAACGGCTCCAGCCTTTACATTAAACCCCCGCTTGTTCTTACTCGGCACGATTTGTTCCTAGTTTCCCCTAAACCTCCGAAAACCCCCCTGTCTGCTCCCCCTCCACGGGCAGCCTGTGCCTGTAGCCAAGAGAGAGGAGCCAAGCTGACTAGGTAATTACAAACAATACCCATACAATGTGTACTTCCAGCACAATTAATAAGAGATCTGGGAGAAACCTTGGTACTTCATAGATCCATTTTCTTTTTGTTATTTACTATAACAGCTGTTGCGTATCCATATATACGATGATAGACCTTTAGATTCCTGCTCTTTGCCTTTAATCGTGCTCAAAATATTATTTCATACAACATCCATTCAAGGCAGTCACACAGCTTTGACTTCAACAATTTTTTTTTATCAAGTCCATTTTCAAACTCCAGACTGGAAAGGTACGAAAAGGAGCCCCATGTCAAAACCTATACTTTCAAGTACCTTCTAAATCGTCTAAACAAACAAATAATGAGGATGAGGGCAACATTTCCACGAGCAAATAGCACCACCAGGATGTAGAAAGGAGGTACTAATGTTCTTCGAGGTATCAGAGACAGTTCACTGTGACCTTGGACAATACTGGTGTGTTGAAAAGAACTATTTCCTCTTTCTTTAACACAGAATTCAAAGAACCAGAGAGCAAATTAAGGACAGATGAGTGAGACTGTGTTTGGACCAAACACTCTATCTACTCTATTCTTCATTAAATCTTTCGCTTTTGTCTCCTTTCAGAAATCATTGTGCTTTAGGTAGTCCATTATCAGATCCATGTTTAATTTAACAGTCATGTATGCATCCCATAACTGTATATGTTGCCAGGATATTCAGGAGCCAGTTGCCAGGCAACAAGTGAATTCAAAGCTTTCAGTGAATAAAATTATAAAAGTGGATGGTAATGGATCATTCCAGTGAGGCTGGTCAGCACTGAGTGGTAGACTCTGAGATCAAACCTTGAATTCAAAGAAAAACTGAGCAGAACGTTTGCTGAACTAAAAAAACCCTGGTTAGTGGTAAAAGGTTTCTTTATTTTTGTTATTATTTCAGAAGACAATTCAAGTGGGTTTAGCTTCACTGCTGAGAACTTGACTTAAGATCATTAATCATTAATCCATATTTCATCTGTGAGAGTCAAAGCCACTGCTAGTCAACCAGTAGAACCTGATTATCGCTCGACCTTAAGAACACTAAGTTCATTGGCATTCCAGCTGCACTGCACTGTAAAATAAGGTAAATCCATAAAGCCATTAGAGATTATTTGGAATTCTCTCTACCTCAGTTTTACTGGAATATCTCTCGCTTGCTGCTACACTGGTCACTCAGGTTGTTTGACATTGAACTGTACACTTGCACAACCACAAGAGATTTACAACAGACAGCATTGAATTTAAAATGTTGCATCTTTCTCCTTTCTTTCTCCTTCAGCACTCTGAAGAACAAGGAGCTGTCACCAATAATAGGACAGAAAGGAATCCAGGGAACATTGACCTCTAGTGGACAGTCTCTACACTCCGAGCACAGTCCACACTCCTTAAGGAGAGGTAATAAGGAAAAGTCAATATTTATCTAAAAATATAAACAATTGAATAAGTATAATATTCAGAAAAAGAACAAAGAAGTTTTATTTTTCTTCCCTTTGCAGCAAAGAAGTTAGCTCCAATCCCACCTAAAGGACCTTTTTGCCAGACAGGAGCCATGTCTGACCAGTCAACTGGTCAGCCTTCTCCAGTCAGCTTGTCACCCACTCCTCCTAGCACCCCCTCCCCGTATGGCTTTAGCTACCCACAAGGTTACGCCACAATCGGCTCACCGGTTCAGGTACAGATGGCCACCACACCATCTCTCTCTTCTCCACCCTCACTAGCTGGGACTCTCACTAAAACAAGGCCAACTCCCAAACCACCACGACAGAGGCCCAACTTACCTCCCCCTCAACCCCCATCCACCCCGGGCACGAGTCCACAGCCTCTGGAGAACTCTTCAGGTCTTCTAGATGGTTTATCTCCTGGTGAGAGTATGTCAACAGGTAACACAGAAATTTGAAATGTTACTTTATTCTTTCTGTACAGGAACCTGTTTACAATTGTTGCTGTCTACAATGTGTCCCAGAAATACATTATTATAAACCTTTATATCAATTCACACTAGATTTGCGATATCTAGAAAATACAGCACATTTATTAAATATAAATATTCTTTATGTGACGGTGATTCTGTGTTGACTACTAATTAACTTCAGGCTCTCTTACGCTTTATTTATCATTCACCAGAAGGCAGTTGATGGAATTATGTTCATGTCTAATTTTCCTTTCATTTCCGTTGCTCTTACTGTCTCACTTACAGCAGTATGAGGCGA